TATAATTATTGGTATGCCTCTGAAAAAATCCACAACATTTTTTACTCTCTAAAATAGTAAGGTTTTTGTTGTTGGGGTTTTGGGGGGTTTTTTGGGGGTGTTTTGGGGGGGAGGGGAAGGCTTTTGGCCCCCTCCCTTCCCCCCAACTCGGGGAACTGGGCAAACTGGGCGAACTGGGCGTCTTCAGCGCAATGCGGGGGTTTCCTCCCTCCTTCTTCCTCCCTCCTCTTCCTCCTCTTCCTCCCTCTTCTTCCTCCTTCCTCTTCTCCTTCCTCTTCCTCCTTCCTCCTTTCCCTCCCTCCTCTCTTCCTCCCTCCTCTTTTCCTTCCTCCTCTTCCTCCCTCCTTCCTCCTCCTTTCCTCCTTCCTTTTCCTCCCTCCTCTCTGCCTTCCTCCTCTTCCTCCCTCTGCTATTCCTTCCTCTTCTCCTTCCTCCTCTTCCTCTTTTCCTCCTTCCTTTTCCTCCCTCCTCTCTGCCTTCCTCCTCCTCCTCTTTTCCTCCTTCCTTTTCCTCCTCCTCTTTTCCTCCCTCCTCTCTGCCTTCCTCCTCTTCCTCCCTCTGCTATTCCTTCCTCTTCTCCTTCCTCCTCTTCCTCTTTTCCTCCTCCTCCTCTTCCTCCCTCCTCTTTTCCTTCCTCCTCTTCCTCCCTCCTTCCTCCTCCTTTCCTCCTTCCTTTTCCTCCCTCCTCTCTGCCTTCCTCCTCTTCCTCCCTCCTCTTTTCCTTCCTCCTCTTCCTCCCTCCTCTTTTCCTTCCTCCTCTTCCTCCCTCCTCTTTTCCTTCCTCCTCTTCCTCCCTCCACTTTTCCTTCCCTTTTCCTCCCTCCTTTCCCTCCTTCCTCTTTTCCTTCCTTTTTCCTCCTTTCTCTCTGCCTTCCTCTTCCTCTCTCTCCTCTTCCTCCCTCCCCCTTTTCCTTCTTCCTCTTCCTCCTCCTCCCTCCTCTTTTCCTTCTTCCTCTTCCTCTCTGGGCTTTTCCTTCCTCTTTTCCTCCCTTCTCTCTTCCCTCCCCCTTCTCCCTCCCTCCCCTTTTCCTTCCTCCTCTTCCTCCCTCCTCTTTACCTTTTGATTTCCTCCTCTTTTCCTCCCTCCTCTTCCTCTCTCTGCTTTTCCTCCCTCCTCTTTTAGTTTCCTCCTCTTTTCCTCCTTCTTCTTTCCTTCCTCCTTTTCCTCCCTCCTCTTCCTCTCTCTCCTCTTCCTCTCTCTCCTCTTCCTCTCTCTCCTCTTCCTCCCTCCCCCTTTTCCTTCTTCCTCTTCCTCCTCCTCCCTCCTCTTTTCCTTCTTCCTCTTCCTCTCTGGGCTTTTCCTTCCTCTTTTCCTCCCTTCTCTCTTCCCTCCCCCTTCTCCCTCCCTCCCCTTTTCCTTCCTCCTCTTCCTCCCTCCTCTTTACCTTTTGATTTCCTCCTCTTTTCCTCCCTCCTCTTCCTCTCTCTGCTTTTCCTCCCTCCTCTTTTCCTTCCTCCTCTTCCTCCCTCCTGCCTTCCTCCTCTTTTCCTTCTTCCTCTTTTCCTCCCTCTTCTCCTTCTTCCTCTTTTCCTCCATTCTCTCTTTCCTTCCTTCTTTTCCTCCCTCTTCTTTTCCTCCCTCCCCTCTTTCTCCCTCCTCTTCCTTCCTCTTTTTCCTCCCTCCCCCTCTTCCTCCCTCCCCTTTTCCTCTCTCTGCTTTTCCTCCCTCCTCTTTTCCTTCCTCCTCTTCCTCCCTCCTGCCTTCCTCCTCTTTTCCTTCTTCCTCTTTTCCTCCCTCTTCTCCTTCTTCCTCTTTTCCTCCATTCTCTCTTTCCTTCCTTCTTTTCCTCCCTCTTCTTTTCCTCCCTCCCCTCTTTCTCCCTCCTCTTCCTTCCTCTTTTTCCTCCCTCCCCCTCTTCCTCCCTCCCCTTTTCCTCTCTCTGCTTTTCCTCCTTCCTCTCTGCCTTCCTCCTCTTCCTTCCTCCACTTTTCCTTCCCTTTTCCTCCCTCCTTTCCCTCTCTCCGCTTTTTCTTCCTCCTCTTCCTCCCTCCACTTTTCCTTCCTCCTCTTTTCCTTCCTCTTTTTCCTCTTTCCTCTTTTCCTCCCCCTTCTCCTCCTTCCTCTTTTCCTTCCCTTTTCCTCCCTCCTCTTCCTCCCTCCCCTTTTCCTCCCTTCTCTTCCTCCTCTCTGCCTCCCTCCTCTTCCTCCCTCCTCTTTTTCTTCTTCCTCTTTTCCTCCATTCTCTCTTTCCTTCCCTTTTCCTCCCTCCTCTTTTCCTCCCTCCTTTTCCTCTCTCTGTTTTTCCTTCTTCCTCTTCCTCCCTCCTCTTTTCCTCCCTCCTCTTCCTCCCTCCTCTTCCTCCCTCCTCTTCCTCCCTCCTCTTCCTCCCTCCTCTTCCTCCCTCCTCTTCCTCCCTCCTCTTCCTCCCTCCTCTTCCTCCCTCCTCTTCCTCCCTCCTCTTCCTCCCTCCTCTTCCTCCCTCCTCTTCCTCCCTCCTCTTCCTCCCTCCTCTTCCTCCCTCCTCTTCCTCCCTCCTCTTCCTCCCTCCTCTTCCTCCCTCCTCTTCCTCCCTCCTCTTCCTCCCTCCTCTTCCTCCCTCCTCTTCCTCCCTCCTCTTCCTCCCTCCTCTTCCTCCCTCCTCTTCCTCCCTCCTCTTTTCCTTTTGATTTCCTCCTCTTTTCCTTCCTCCTCTTCCTCTCTCTGCTCTTCCTCTCTCCCCTTTTCCTTCCTCCTTTTCCTCCCTCCACTATTCCTTCCTCTTCTTCTTCCTTCTTCTCCCTCCTCTTTTCCTCCCTCCTCTTCCTCCCTTCTTTCTTCCCTCCCCTTTTCCTTCCCTTTTCCTCCCTCTTTTTTTTCCTCTCTCCTCTTTTCCTTTCTCTTTTCCTTCCTGTTTTTCATCCTTCCTCCTTTCCCTTCCTCCTCTTCCTCCCTCCTCTTTTCCTCCCTCCTTTCCCTCTCTCCGCTTTTTCTTCCTCCTCTTCCTCCCTCCACTTTTCCTTCCTCCTCTTTTCCTTCCTCTTTTTCCTCTTTCCTCTTTTCCTCCCCCTTCTCCTCCTTCCTCTTTTCCTTCCCTTTTCCTCCCTCCTCTTCCTCCCTCCCCTTTTCCTCCCTTCTCTTCCTCCTCTCTGCCTCCCTCCTCTTCCTCCCTCCTCTTTTTCTTCTTCCTCTTTTCCTCCATTCTCTCTTTCCTTCCCTTTTCCTCCCTCCTCTTTTCCTCCCTCCTTTTCCTCTCTCTGTTTTTCCTTCTTCCTCTTCCTCCCTCCTCTTTTCCTCCCTCCTCTTCCTCCCTTCTTTCTTCCCTCCCCTTTTCCTTCCCTTTTCCTCCCTCTTTTTTTTCCTCTCTCCTCTTTTCCTTTCTCTTTTCCTTCCTGTTTTTCATCCTTCCTCCTTTCCCTTCCTCCTCTTCCTCCCTCCTCTTTTCCTTTTGGTTTCCTCCTCTTTTTCTTCCTCCCCTTCCTCTCTCCACTTTTCCTTCCTTTTTCCTCCCTCCCCTTTTCCTCCCTCTTCTCCTTTCTCTTTTCCTCCCTCCTCTTCCTCCCCCCTCCCCTCTTCCTCCCCCCTTTTCCTCCCCGTTCTGCCCCATTTTTCCCCGGTGGCGACTGGTTTTTCCTCTCCCCGGTCCTTCCATAGACCCTTCTTTCTGTGGGTGTCGGGCTCCTCTCCCCGGACTCTTTCTCTGCCGCCCACCAAGGTACCTCCTCCTCCTCTTCCTCCCCCTCCCGCACAGCGGATCTGCCTTTGGGGAAGAGCAGGAAAAACCAAAGAAATGGGTAAAAACTAGAGGAGCAGCCCAGGCTCTTCCTGCTCCGAGCGTCCCTGGGGATAAAGAGCAGGGGAGGCAAAAGCCACCGCCTTCTGGCTACCCATTTTGGGGATGTGGCCACCTCTTTTGGGGCCGTGGCCACCTCTTCTGGGGCCTTGGCCATGTGTTTTGGGGCCCTGACCACATCTTTGGGGCCGTGGCTACCTCTTTTGGGTCCGTTGCCACCCATTTTGGGGCCCTGGCTACCGTTTTGGGGCCGTGGCCACCTCTTTTGAGGCCCTGGCCACCCATTTTGAGGCCTTGGCCATGTGTTTTGGGTCCGTTGCCACCCATTTTGGGGCTGTGGCCACCTCTTCTGGGGTCCTGGCCACCTGTTTTGGGTCCGTGGCCACCTGTTTTGGGGCTGTGACCACCTTTTTTGGTGCCCTGGCCACCCGTTTTGGGGCCTGGCTACTGTTTTGGGGCTGTGGCCACCCGTTCTGAGGCCCTGGCCACCCGTTTTGGGGCCGTGACCACCTCTTTTGGGGCTGTGGCCACCTGTTTTGAGGCCCTGGCCACCCCTTTTGGGGCTGTGGCCGCCTCTTTTGGGGCCGTGGCCACCTCTTTTGGGATCCTGGCCACCCATTTTGGGGCTGTAGCCACATTTTTGGGGTCCTGGCCACCTGTTTTGGGGTCCTGGCCACCTCTTTTGGGGGTGTGGCCACCCTTTCTGGGGCCGTGGCCACCTGGTTTGGGGTCCTGGCTACCTCTTCTGGGGCCATGGCTACCTCTTCTGGGGCCCTGGCTACCGTTTTGGGGTCCTGGCTACCTCTTTGGGGCCATGGCTGACTGTTTTGGTGCTGTGGCCACCTCTTTTGGGGCCGTGGCCACCTCTTCTGGGGCCTTGGCCATGTGTTTTGGGGCCCTGACCACATCTTTGGGGCCGTGGCTACCTCTTTTGGGTCCGTTGCCACCCATTTTGGGGCTGTGGCCACCTCTTTTGAGGCCCTGGCCACCCATTTTGAGGCCTTGGCCATGTGTTTTGGGTCCGTTGCCACCCATTTTGGGGCTGTGGCCACCTCTTCTGGGGTCCTGGCCACCTGTTTTGGGTCCGTGGCCACCTGTTTTGGGGCTGTGACCACCTTTTTTGGTGCCCTGGCCACCCGTTTTGGGGCCTGGCTACTGTTTTGGGGCTGTGGCCACCCGTTCTGAGGCCCTGGCCACCCGTTTTGGGGCCGTGACCACCTCTTTTGGGGCTGTGGCCACCTGTTTTGAGGCCCTGGCCACCCCTTTTGGGGCTGTGGCCGCCTCTTTTGGGGCCGTGGCCACCTCTTTTGGGGCTGTGGCCACCTGTTTTGAGGCCCTGGCCACCCCTTTTGGGGCTGTGGCCGCCTCTTTTGGGGCCGTGGCCACCTCTTTTGGGGCTGTGGCCACCTGTTTTGAGGCCCTGGCCACCCCTTTTGGGGCTGTGGCCGCCTCTTTTGGGGCCGTGGCCACCTCTTTTGGGGCTGTGGCCACCTGTTTTGAGGCCCTGGCCACCCCTTTTGGGGCTGTGGCCGCCTCTTTTGGGGCCGTGGCCACCTCTTTTGGGATCCTGGCCACCCATTTTGGGGCTGTAGCCACATTTTTGGGGTCCTGGCCACCTGTTTTGGGGTCCTGGCCACCTCTTTTGGGGTCCTGGCCACCTCTTTTGGGGTCATGGCCACCTCTTTTGGGGCCCTGGCTACCGTTTTGGGGCCATGGCCACCTCTTCTGGGGTCCTGGCCACCTATTTTGGGGCCCTGGCCACCCATTTTGGAGCCCTGGCTACGGTTTTGGGGCCGTGGCCACCTGGTATGGGGTCCTGGCCACCCGTTTTGAGGCCCTGACCATGTCTTTGGGGTCCTGGCCACTCGTTTTGGGGCCGTGGCCACCTCTTTTGGGGCCATGACCACCCTTTTTGGGGCCCTGGCCACCCGTTTTGAGGCCCTGGCCACCCATTTTGAGGCCGTGACCACCTCTTTTGGGGTCCTGGCCACCCATTTTGGGGCCATGGCCACATCTTTGGGGCCGTAGCCACCCATTTTGGGATCCTGGCCACCCGTTTTGGGGCTGTAGCCACCTCTTTTGGGGCCCTGGCCACCTCTTTTGGGGCCCTGACCACCTCTTTTGGGGCCATGGCCACCTCTTTTGGGGTCATAGTCACATCTTTGGGGCCACGACCACCCTTTTTGGGGCCACGACCACCCTTTTTGGGGCCATGGCCACCTATTTTGGGTCCGTGGCCACCTGGTTTGGGTCCATGGCCACCTCTTTTGAGGCCGTGGCCCTCAAAAGCTCCCAAAGGTCCCCTCCCCGGGCGCTGGAGAGCGGTGGCTTTGAGGAACCAAGGTCTTGTCTTGGGCTACCAAGGGGATGGGTGGCTACCAAATTCCTCGGGGATGGGGAGATTTGGGAGCCACGGGATGTGGAAGGGTTGGGGGGTATGGCCACCTCTTTTGGGGCCCTGGCTACCGTTTTGGGGCCATGGCCACCTCTTCTGGGGTCCTGGCCACCTATTTTGGGGCCCTGGCCACCCATTTTGGAGCCCTGGCTACGGTTTTGGGGCCGTGGCCACCTGGTATGGGGTCCTGGCCACCCGTTTTGAGGCCCTGACCATGTCTTTGGGGTCCTGGCCACTCGTTTTGGGGCCGTGGCCACCTCTTTTGGGGCCATGACCACCCTTTTTGGGGCCCTGGCCACCCGTTTTGAGGCCCTGGCCACCCATTTTGAGGCCGTGACCACCTCTTTTGGGGTCCTGGCCACCCATTTTGGGGCCATGGCCACATCTTTGGGGCCGTAGCCACCCATTTTGGGATCCTGGCCACCCGTTTTGGGGCTGTAGCCACCTCTTTTGGGGCCCTGGCCACCTCTTTTGGGGCCCTGACCACCTCTTTTGGGGCCATGGCCACCTCTTTTGGGGTCATAGTCACATCTTTGGGGCCACGACCACCCTTTTTGGGGCCACGACCACCCTTTTTGGGGCCATGGCCACCTATTTTGGGTCCGTGGCCACCTGGTTTGGGTCCATGGCCACCTCTTTTGAGGCCGTGGCCCTCAAAAGCTCCCAAAGGTCCCCTCCCCGGGCGCTGGAGAGCGGTGGCTTTGAGGAACCAAGGTCTTGTCTTGGGCTACCAAGGGGATGGGTGGCTACCAAATTCCTCGGGGATGGGGAGATTTGGGAGCCACGGGATGTGGAAGGGTTGGGGGGTGGGGGACGGGCCACCGTAACCTCTGCTCTTCCTCTTCCTCCTCCTCTTCCTCGCCCTCCAGGCCGAGACGGCGGCCAATCGCATCTGCAAGGTGTTGGCCGTCAACCAGGAGAACGAGCACCTGATGGAGGACTACGAGAAGTTGGCTTCCGACGTAAGCCACCGGGCTACCACGGGGGGGTCGGGGGGGTGGGTGGTGGCCCGTGGCCAGTGGGGTGTGTCCCCCCACCCCAGTTGGAGGTCCAGTCTCCTTCAACGTAGCCATCCATGACCTGGAAGGAAGGGATGGAACGTTCCTTCAACCAGTTGGTTGATGGCAACCCAACTGGGAAGATGGTGGCCAACGCTCCAAAGGGTTGGGCCACCATCTGATGGGCCCTGGGTGGAGAAGGGTGGACTCGTGGAATGGTTTGGACCTCGAAGAACATCCAGGGGCACCTCTTCCACCAGAGCAGGTTGCCCAAAGTCCCACTCCAACCTGGCCTTGAAGCCCTCCAGGGATGGGTCACTCCAACCCAACGTCTTCACACCTGAAGACCTTTAGACTCCATCTTGAAGGTCTTTAGACTCCATCTTGAAGGTTCCTTCTGATCTAGAGAGGTCTGTGGTTCCAGATCAGGTCGCTCCAACCCAACGTCTTCACACCTGAAGACCTTTAGACTCCATCTTGAAGGTCTTTAGACTCCATCTTGAAGGTTCCTTCTGATCTAGACAGGTCTGTGGTTCCAGATCAGGTCCCTCCAACCCAACGTCTTCACACCTGAAGACCTTTAGACTCCATCTTGAAGGTCTTTAGACTCCATCTTGAAGGTTCCTTCTGATCTAGACAGGTCTCTGGTTCCAGATCAGGTCGCTCCAACCCAACGTCTTCACACCTGAAGACCTTTAGACTCCATCTTGAAGGTCTTTAGACTCCATCTTGAAGGTTCCTTCTGATCTAGAGGGGTCTCTGGTTCCAGATCAGGTCGCTCCAACCCAACGTCTTCACACCTGAAGACCTTTAGACTCCATCTTGAAGGTCTTTAGACTCCATCTTGAAGGTTCCTTCTGATCAGGTCACTCCAACCCAACGTCTTCACACCTGAAGGTCTTTAGACTCCATCTTGAAGGTCTTTAGACTCCATCTTGAAGGTCTTTAGACTCCATCTTGAAGGTTCCTTCTGAACAGGTCACTCCAACCCAACATCTTCACACCTGAAGACCTTTAGACTCCATCTTGAAGGTTCCTTCTGATCTAGAGGGGTCTCTGGTTCCAGATCAGGTCCCTCCAACCCTGTTCTGATGGTGGGACGTGCCCCTGGATGGAACTACCTGGTCTTCAGGGTCCCTTCCCACCCAAACCATCCCATGGTTCTATCTCTAGAGGTTCCAACAATTCCATGATTCCAAAGAGGGGACCCAATTTCTCCTAAAATCCCATTTTTCCCCCTTTTTCCCCCAGCTGCTGGAGTGGATCAAACGCACCATCCCGTGGTTGGAGGTCTTTAGCCTCCATCTTGAAGGTTCCTTCTGATCTAGAGGGGTCTGTGGTTCCAGATCAGGTCACTCCAACCCAACGTCTTCACACCTGAAGGTCTTTAGACTCCATCTTGAAGGTTCCTTCTGATCTAGAGGGGTCTCTGATTCTGGGTTGGGTCACTCCAACCCAACGTCTTCACACCTGAAGACCTTTAGAGTCCATCTTGAAGGTCTTCAGACTCCATCTTGGAGGTTCCTTCTGATCTAGACAGGTCTGTGGTTCCAGATCAGGTCACTCCAACCCAACGTCTTCACACCTGAAGACCTTTAGAGTCCATCTTGAAGGTCTTCAGACTCCATCTTGGAGGTTCCTTCTGATCTAGACAGGTCTGTGGTTCCAGATCAGGTCACTCCAACCCAACGTCTTCACACCTGAAGACCTTTAGAGTCCATCTTGAAGGTCTTCAGACTCCATCTTGGAGGTTCCTTCTGATCTAGACAGGTCTGTGGTTCCAGATCAGGTCACTCCAACCCAACGTCTTCACACCTGAAGGTCTTTAGACTCCATCTTGAAGGTCTTTAAACCATCTTGAAGGTCTTTAGACTCCATCTTGAAGGTTCCTTCTGATCTAGACAAGTCCCTGGTTCCAGATCAGGTCCCTCCAACCCTGTTCTGATGGTGGGACGTGTCCCTGGATGGAACTACCTGGTCTTCAAGGTCCTTTCCCACCCAAACCATCCCATGGTTCTATCTCTAGAGGTTCCAACAATTCCGTGATTCCAAAGGGGGGACCCAATTTCTCCTAAAATCCCATTTTTCCCCCCTTTTCCCCCAGTTGCTGGAGTGGATCAAACGCACCATCCCGTGGTTGGAGGACCGTAGCCCCCAGAAGACCATCCAGGAGATGCAGCAGAAGCTGGAGGACTTTCGGGACTATCGGAGGGTCCACAAACCCCCCAAGGTGCAGGAGAAGTGCCAGTTGGAGATCAACTTCAACACCCTCCAGACCAAGCTCCGCCTCAGCAACCGCCCCGCCTTCATGCCCTCCGAGGGCAAGATGGTCTCGGTGAGTCGACCCCCCAACTTGGGGGGCAACCTGGAGGGGTCAACTTGTGGGGGCAACCTGGAGGGGTCAACTTGGAGGGGCAACCTGGAGGGGTCAACTTGGAGGGGCAACCTGGAGGGGTCAACTTGAGGTTGGGGGGGAGGAACTGGGAGGTACTGACTCCACCAGCGTGGAGACCTTGTGTTGATGGCCATCAGTGTGGGGAGGAGAGGACCTCGTTGGCCATCGGTCTGGAGACCCCGTGGCCATCACTATGGGGAGGAGAAGACCCCGTGGCCATCACTATGGGGAGGAGAAGACCCCATGGCCATCAATGTGGCGAGGAGAAGACCCCGTGGCCATCACTATGGGGAGGAGAAGACCCAATGGCCATCACTATGGGGAGGAAGAAACCCCATGGCCATCACTATGGGGAGGAGAAGACCCCATGGCCATTGATGTGGGGAGGAGAAGACCCCATGGCCATCGATGTGGCAAGGAGAAGACCCCATGGCCATCGACGTGGCAAGGAGAAGACCCCATGGCCATCGACGTGGCAAGGAGAAGACCCCATGGCCATCGACATGGCAAGGAGAAGACCCCATGGCCATCGACATGGCAAGGAGAAGACCCCGTGGCCATCACTATGGGGAGGAGAAGACCCCGTGGCCATCACTATGGGGAGGAGAAGACCCCGTGGCCATCGATGTGGGGAGGAGGAGACCCCATGGCCATCACCGTGGCAAGGAGAAGACCCCGTGGCCATCACTGTGGGGAGGAGAAGACCCCATGGCCATCACTATGGTGCCATCGATGTGGCAAGGAGAAGACCCCGTGGCCATCGATGTGGCAAGGAGAAGACCCCGTGGCCATCGATGTGGCAAGGAGAAGACCCCATGGCCATCGACATGGCAAGGAGAAGACCCCGTGGCCATCACTGTGGGGAGGAAGAAACCCCATGGCCATCGACGGGGCGAGGAGAAGACCCCATGGCCATCACTATGGGGAGGAGAAGACCCCGTGGCCATCACTATGGGGAGGAGGAGACCCCGTGGCCATCACTATGGGGAGGAGGCCCCATGGCCACCACCATGGCAAGGAGAAGACCCCGTGGCCATTGATGGCGCGAGGAGAAGACCCCGTGGCCATCGATGTGGCAAGGAGAAGACCCCGTGGCCATCACTATGGGGAGGAGGAGACCCCGTGGCCATCGATGTGGTGAGAAGACCCCATGGCCATCACCATGGCGAGGAGAAGACCCTGTGGCCATCACTATGGGGAGGAGGAGACCCCGTGGCCATCGATGTGGTGAGAAGACCCCATGGCCATCACCATGGCGAGGAGAAGACCCTGTGGCCATCAATGTGGCGAGGAGGAGACCCCGTGGCCATCGACATGGCAAGGAGAAGACCCCGTGGCCATCACTATGGGGAGGAGGAGACCCCGTGGCCATCGATGTGGCAAGGAGAAGACCCTGTGGCCATCACCATGGGGAGGAGGAGACCCTGTGGCCACCACCATGGCAAGGAGAAGACCCCGTGGCCATTGATGGCGCAAGGAGAAGACCCCGTGGCCATCGATGGGGCAAGGAGAAGACCCCGTGGCCATCACTATGGGGAGGAGAAGACCCCATGGTCATCACTATGGGGAGGAGGAGACCCCATGGCCATCGATGTGGTGAGGAGAAGACCTCGTGGCCATCACCATGGCAAGGAGAAGACCTCGTGGCCACCAACATGGCAAGGAGAAGACCCAGTGGCCATCACCGTGGCAAGAGAAGACCCTATGGCCATTGATGTTGCGAGGAGAAGACCCCATGGCCATCACTGTGGTGAGGAGAAGACCCCATGGCCATCACTGTGGTGAGGAGAAGACCCAATGGCCATCACTGTGGTGAGGAGAAGACCCAGTGGCCATCACTGTGGTGAGGAGAAGACCCAGTGGCCATCACTATGGGGAGGAGAAGACCCCGTGGCCATCACTATGGGGAGGAGAAGACCCCGTGGCCATCACTATGGCGAGGAGACCTCGTGGCCATCGATGTGGTCAGGAGAAGACCCCGTGGCCACCAACATGGCAAGGAAGGGACCCCATGGCCATCACTATGGGGAGGAG